CATCACACCCAAAAACCCTTAGTCTTTCATAGTCTTGAGCTATTTCTCCTGACCATAATTCCATTGGAGTTTTACCACTTAGAGCTACAGAAGGTAGACGATTCAAAATATGGCATGCATAATTTAATGCCTCTGCCTAAAATCTTTTATGCAATTTCGCTTGTGAAAGCATACATCTCACATTTTCCAACAATGTCTGATTCAACCATTCTGCAATACCATTTTGTTGTGGGGTTTCTCTAACACTAAAATGACTAGTAATACCTTCCCTTTTGCATATCTCGAAGAAATGATTAGAAGTATATTCCCTGCCATTATCATTTCTTAAGACTTTCAACTTCTTGCCAGTCTTCTTTTAAACCATAATTTTCCATTCCAATAAAATATTCAACACCTCATGTTTGTGCTTTATCATATAAACCCATGATCTTCGTGAGTAATCATCAATAAATGACACAAACCATCTCTTCCCTCCTAGAGATTCATTCTCTGCAGGTCCCCAAACATCCATGTATACATAATTCAATATCCTTTCAATTTGATGTATTGCAGTGCAAAATTTTCCCTTTGTTTGCTTGCCAAGAACCATGTTCTAAAAAACGCTAGGCGCTAGTCGGGTGGTGGGCTAGCGCCTAGCGCCTAGTCGGCTAAGCGGCCTAGGTGGATTTAGGTAAATTTCTTGTATATCTTGTAAATAAGTACATATTGACACTTACAAAAAATTATACTTGTATGAAATCTATGGATATGATAATAAAAGAATGATAAAATTCAAAAAAAGTATCCAACAAGTCCAAAATTTAAAAACACATTAAGCATATATGCCATATAACCATAGTGAGAAGTATTGTAGGATGACACATGTACAACAAGTTCACAATTTAAAATAACATAAAATGGAAAATAGGAGGAAATTAAGGAAATTAGTAATGTAAGATACTTATCTTTAGCATCTCGGAATTTAAGTTGGTACACAACACACCTATTCTATAAAATTAAAAAAATTTCAAGGTATAATTAGAACTTAGACTTTAAACAAATTTCAAAAAAAAAAAAAACCACCCAGCCACCTACAGCCACCCCGATTTTTCCAGCCGTTTTGCACAAAATCGCCTCGGTTCCAAGGTGCCTAGTGCCTAGGTGGCCGCCTAAGGCATTTTTTAGAACAGTGCCAAGAATATAGTGCTCACAGAACTCTATCTTTCCACTTTTAGCTCCCTTTAAAACCCCTTGTTTAATCAACCCTTGCAACGCTTTGTTTTTCACATGCTCCAACCTCATATGCCATATAGATGAATCACCTTGATCACCTTCTGCCACCATAGTCAATTGTTTTTCCACGATATTACCCTCCAACAAGTAAAGCAAACCTCTTCTAGGAGCCTTCATCATCACTAATGCCCCTCTAACTACCTTAAGTATATTATTCTCATAATACAATTTGCAACCTTGAGATTCAAGGGTGCCTAAAGAAATTAAATTCTTCTTGAGGTTTGGAACATATCTTACTCCTTGTAGTTCTCGAATTACACTATCATGATGATTAATCATAACGCTGCCAATAATTTGCGTTGAACATGGATTATCGTCACCCATATACACAGTTCCAATGAAGCTTTTGAAAGATGAGAACCAATGACGTTGTGAAGTCATATGATGAGTGCATCCAGTGTCAAACACCCATTGATTCACGTAGTCTATGCTTTCCGTTGCTGTTAGAGCACAAACAAAATCCTCATCATCAGCTTCAACAATGTTTGCCTCTGAATCTTCATGTCTCTTTTCCTTGTTTTTAGCCTTGATTTTAGGACAATCATTCTTCCAGTGTCCTTTCTCATGGAAAAAGGCGCACTCATCCTTATCCAAGAATTTTCTATTGCTTGAGTTACCTCTTGTACGAGACTTGCCTTTCTTCCTATTTGCAGACTTTCTTTCCTTTGATTTTCCTCTCACCATTAATGTTTCAGAATTGTTCCTCTCTTGTCTATCAAGATTTCAAACTTCATGATTCATCACAGCACTTGAGATCTCATCAAATTTAATAGTTTCTCTACCATAAATCCATGTCGTAACGAATGATTCATAGGATTTAGGCAAAGAATTCATCAAGATCAAAGATTTGTCTTCATCCTTGATCGTCTCTTCTAAGTTCAACAATTCAGCAATCATCTTGTTAAACTCTTCGAGATGATCAATCATCTTTGTTTCTTCCTTATACTGAAAATGATAAAGCTTACTCTTGAGGTAAAGTCTATTTTCTACACTCTTTTTCAAATACTTGGACTCCAGTGTATCCCATAATTCCTTGGCCAATGAAATATTCATTACACCATACTTTTGTGCCTTGCCAAGACAACTGAATCGTGGAACATGCATGCGCATTTAGCCGTTGCCATTCCTCCTTCATCGCCATAAACATATCTCCAAGCACAACAAGTAGTCCTTGTTGTATCAACATATCTTTAACTTCGCACTACCACATAGTGAAGTTATTGGTCCTGACGAACTTCTCGATCTCGAACCTAGCACTTTGCACCGAGGTTTTGGTTACCTCAATGCCCCCATCATCTCCACTCTTGTTGGAGTCTTCAGGTTTTGTCATTGTTTTGGCTTAATCACCAAACTAGGCTCTTGATACCACTTATTGGAACATAACCAAGATGATTAAACTAAGAACAACCACACAAAATATGAACAATCAGAAGCTAACTTTATTAATCAGTAAAGTCTTACAAAAGAACTCACAAAACTCTCACACAAAAGTTCTCATGCCTTACAAGTCTCTTGAATTCATACACACACCAACACTAAGGCTTACCTATATATATATACTAGATAACCTAGCCACAAAACTAATCCTAAACTAAGTTAGAAATCCCAAAACCAACTAGAAACTTGCGTCCAAGTTTCCTATACAAAATACAAACTCGGATTCCTATCTTAGTTAGGAATACAAACTTGATTTCATACCAATTCCAACACTAAGTTCCTTTAAAAAAATCAAGTGAATGTGACATGGCTTTCAAACATTAGTCATGATTATGACTAGTCATTTTTTTTTACTTGATGCAATACAGTTCTCTCAAATTAAATGGGAATACTATCCACATGGAACTTAGAGAGAAAAGAAAGAGAGTAGCTTTTCCATACTATTCATGTGGGCATTATCACTTTGGCAAACATTTGTGGCAAACAAGAGCTCACTACTTCATCGCGGAGGTACCGAATTCAAGCAGTTAAAATGAAAAAACATTGGAGACAACTTTGAACTACGGACTACAAACCATTTCAACTGTCGTGGACGCGAACCATCTCAAAACACAAAGTTCAATGAACTTATGCTTCATCAAATTTAATGGATCAAATTCCCAAGGTGGCCAATGACACGAGGCTACATCAAATACCAAAATGGCACGAAGCCACAATCAAACGGCACGAAGCCGCAACAAGACTCAAATGGCACGAAGCCACATCCTGCTCTAATGGCTCAAAGTTCTCGCTCACACGAGCTTAAACTGCATGAGGCACCAATAGCTCTAATGGCTCAAAGTCCTCGCCCGCACGAGCTAAAATTGCATAAGGCATCAAATGTTACTTGCGTGCATGAGCTAAAACTGCACAAGACATCAAACCCTAACAAATACAAAAAGAACTATGAGTGACTTGATCCCTCAACGAGGGTACGTAGGCAATCTAGGGCTTTGCCTAGGTGCAGTCACAAAATCAAATAAACACCCAAACCCCCAAGTTACGATTTATTCATATTGGAATCAAAGGGTATTCCTTTCCCAAAAGAAAGGTTGTAATTAATAGGTGCGTAGCCTAGAATGGGTCAAACTCAATTTAATAAATCCCTCTTTGAAAAATGAACGATGGTGAAATTGTGTCGAGTGAATTATTTGTTTCCATATTGTATACAATTTTTGCTCAACAAGAACGTAATGTTAAATTAATTAAAAAAATGTTAACATAAACAAAAAATACGCACATTATCAAATTACCATAGAAAATCGTAAAAACCTAAAATTTAGGGATTCTATTATAAGGACTCTCCCATTTGGAGGCAATATTCATTTAGGGACACAAAGATTCCCTTTAAGTTTTAAATGAGTACTCAAAGGTGGTGGGACTCTCGTTGAAAATGCTCTTAAGACACTAGTTTGTAGTGAAGAAAATGATGAATACGGTTCTACAAAGAAATACTAAATTTAATCTAGTGGTCATATGACTTCGAATGTGGGTAAATTTTTGGTATAGATGATTAGATCGTTAAAATACATTATATAATGTGCTTTGAAAAAGTTATCTTTAATATTAGAAAGCCAGCAATCAACTTTGGTGTCTCAAGGCTTCACCAAAAATTTCTAGAAAAAAAAAACCCCTAAAACAAAAAAAATCCAAAACTAACAAAAAATAACACAGCAAACACAACATGGGTAATTTTGTCAAAAAGAAAAAAGGGCAGTCATCAAATTAAAAAGTTAAAATAAAAAAAAATGAAATACAAAGAGCAGTTAACGCATTCAAACATGGTTAACCTCACTATGTTTGGATGAGGGAAATAAACTTGGAATTTGAATTAAAGACAGAATTTATAAATTGACATTCACCAATTCCCTTGTTTGGATTCATAAACATAGAAATTTAGAATTTCCGCATGGAAAAAAACTTGGAATTTGGGACCTCCAATTCCCAAGTTTAAATTTCATGTAAATAGGTGTCATTTTCCAATTTTTATGATTAAGAGTTTAAAAACAACAAATTCCGTATTCAATTTCATTGTTCTTTTAGGTTACCCAAATAAGAAAATTCACAAATTCTATAGAATAAAATTCCATGATTTAAATTTCTATCATTTTAAAATTTGTTAGTAATTTTAAATTTATTCATCTAAACATAATGTTACTTTGACGTGATGAAACCGTTTCACACACGAGGGGGGATTTGATACTGAACAGAAAACTGTATTAAAAAAATTACATAAAGCCGAGAAAAAAAAAAGTAGAACGTGGCATTCAAACCTCCACGTTGTGCAGAAAAAAACAAACTGGAGAAGATGGAGTTCAGAACGTGGAATAGACACAGTTATCGGAAGAGAGTTTACCTTTTTATTCCAAGTTTACAGTTATCGGAAGACAGTTTACCTTTTTAGTTTCTTTACTGCAAAATTTGCGATGGTTTTACGAGGTAGAACGAGGACGATGCAATTCAATCTCCATCCACCTTTTTACAGGTACGCCAAGTTTCTTCAATTTCCGAATTTTATCTCTACATTTTAGTCTAAAATATCAGACGATAATTCATGGGTATTATCGTAAACGTTCCGGAATCTATTGCTTAATTTATATTTTTCTTATGGAATGTAATGTGATTTTGTTCACATTTTATATAATTGATCGCTGGACATTTGAAGACGAACATGGAGGAAAAGTTGGATAATTATCCTCCTAAACTGAGCAGTTATAATTATAACACGTTGAAAAAAAAATGGAGCTCAAATTTGAAACTGCAATTGGTTTTATTCCTTTTCCACAAAAACTAAATCGTCTTCACTCTTAGGTATGTTACTTTGATGTTCGATTTATTTTTAATTTCCATTTTTATCATTAACTCCATATTTGATCAAATATATAGGCTGATTGGTGAATCCCCAGTGATCGATGCGTTTTCAATATATGAGTTGGTGGTTTTGTTCTTTTGGGTAACTTCGTTTAATTCTTTATTCCTCCTGTCCATGAAATTTAAATTAATTTAGTACAAATGTTCATTTTTGGTTTCTGGGAAATTAAAAGTTTGAACCTTTTCTATTTGTGTAATCAATTTTGAAGTTTGTTTCACAGGAAAAATATGGAAGAAGGAAGAGAAATAGCGGAAGAAGAGGGAACAAAAATAGTTTTGAGTCATCCTGTTCTGTATTAGGTAACATATTTTCATCCCTTTTTGTTTTTCCTTCTGTCCATGATTTGGACCTCAAGAGCGGAGCAGAAGAGGACTTGATCATGTTTTTTTTTTCATTTAGATGGTTGATCTATTCTCTTATTTGGCGCTCTGACTTTTTTATCTGCTTCTGTTTCCTAGCTGTATTTTTTTTATAGACAATTGGTGGACGATGTTTTGACGGGACGGCAGTCGTCAGGTAGGACGAAGATCTATGCTTTATTTTATGGGCATGCCCATTTTCTTAACATGTCTCTCACACTTCCATTCAGTATTTCCTATTTTTCAATTCACGCTCTTCTCTTTCTCACTCTTCGCCTGTAGAGCCGTCAGGTGTGTCGAAGTGGTTGGATGTGTTTGATGTGAAAGAACTGGCGTGCTTTGAGGGGCTACGTGAAGGGTATATTTCTATTTTCTTTTTCTTCCATGTTTTACTTATTTATTGGTGATCAAATGATACTTTGTTCTTCTTCCATTTTGGAAGAAAAATGTTACAATTGCTCTATTCTGTAATGGTTTTAAGGCTTTATAGATGTCCTTAATTGTTTATATCATGTTTAGTTTATCGTAATACTGTAATCTACGATCAAACCTATATATGTAGTATGAACGCTATATCATAGAAGGGATTTTTATTTTCTTACTTTGTATCCAGAGGAAACAAAGAAAAACCATGGGAAGACATCTACAGTCGGTCCAAGAATAATGATTATAGAATTTGGGTTCAACTTCTTATTTCCTTATATTCAGTTGGATTCCCTCTTCGTTGGGGTTGATTATAGAATTTGGGTTTGTTCATTTGGTGTTTCAAGTATTCGTAAGAGTGTTTGCTTATTTTTTAGGGTGATATCCTTATTGCTTTGCTCTTTACTTGGACCAAAATAAAGAAACAGACTTGAAACCCTTGCTTTCTGTAAGTTTTTTTAGGAAAGGGGAAAAGTACGGGTAGCACTACTTCTCCTTCTATTTGAATAGGAGTGAGGAGGCAAGAATGCATATACACTACAAAAAAAAAAAATGTCTAACACAATTCATTGGTGCCCTTTTCAATTTCATTGAGCACAGATATGAATTTGTGCTTTTATGTTTCATTGAGCACAAAATTATCTCGAATTGTTGAAGTAAACATGTTCTTTATCTGAATATGCTTTGTCTGTTGTTACTTCATGTTTCGATCAATTTTTCTTTGCATAAATAAGATGCCATGCAAGCAAGTAAAGCTTTCTGGGTTTATGTCTACTGAGTGCCAAACCATGAAATGGTTGTCAGATTGAGGTTTAAGAGTTGCTTGGCTATTAATTAGTGTAAGATTCGGAGGAATGTAGTCTATCATACTCAAGAGTGCAGGTACGCATAATTTTATATGTAATTGATTCTTCTTCTCTAATAATCTTCCCCTATTTCCTTTTGTTCTGTATATAATGGATCGTCTTAAATTTACAGGTTCATGGTTCATTCAGGCTGCAAAGGATTTGATTACTTTCTTTTTAGGAATATGAATTGGAACAACTTCAAAATTCGGGTGTAATTATTTGTCTTATCAAGTAAATAACTGTATCTTATGATCTGTTTGTTTTTTTCATGCATGGGATTGTATTTTTGATTGGAAGGTTATAAAAATGAACACCATTTACAGTGCTCCAAAATACAATAGATATACATGTTTTGCACTAATAAAACAAGATTATTACTACTTTATGTATTCAATTTTATATTAAGGTACAATATCTATACCAAATAAAATAGGGTTGGCATATACACATTAAGAAAACAACCTCCATTTGCACTTTTAATAGAACAAGGCTCGGGTTTGATTGTAAAAACAAAAACAAAATTGTTACACTAATTTTTCTTAAGAATAAAAACATGATAAGGCGATCTACAAATAAAGAGATTGGAAACTAATGTAATAAACTTTCATCTTCTATAGAAAAATAGAAACAAGTTAAGCATGAGCAATTAAGAAAACACAATTCGCAAACACATAAAATTCAGCTATCAACGAATAAGAATGTTGATAGACAAATGAACACCTAATGCCTCCTAAAAAAGGCTGTTTTAATCCTCTCACACGCAAGTGTTGTTTCACTATTGCATGAAAACAACTTGCGCAATATATAATTAAAACCAAGTAGCACTGGTAATTAAAAAAATACCTCTTGCGCAACCTTGATGAAAGAGACCATGATTTAGTAATGGCATCATCATGTTACAAGTAGACTTGATGTTTTTGTATGTACATATTGTTCATCGTTTTGTTTTGGATCAATGAATCAAAACATACCATCATTTGATCATGATATATAGCTCGAAAAATGTGACATAAGCCGTACAATTAAACATTAATGTCATTTTCATTTACATAGTTATCAAACAAATTTCTCGCACCCTTAAAGATGTCGTCCGTTAATTGTTTTCAATTTGTTCAGTGAGCCATTTTGACAATTACAATGAAAAATAAATAAATCAAGACATATTTAGAGACGCGTAGCGCCCGTGATTGAAAATATGCCTCTCGCACGCACGCAAGTACGTGCAGAGAGGCTAGTGTCCAAATATGTGTCAAAAAAAAATGTCTCCGAATGCTAACCGTTACGGTCATACACGGCACTGGGTGAAACAACAAAGAAAATTCTAGATTGAAACTTCCTCTCAAGTCTCTAACCAGTCCACTACGCTAACGTGTTGGCGGACTCGTCATCTCACCATCATGGAAACCCCACGCGGCTTCGACAAATAAACATCAGAATAGTTAAGTCCGGGCAAAGAATTATTATCTAATCAAGTAAATATATGTGTGTTTGTGTGTTCCTAATCAAGGTTTAAAATATCGATGATATCGAAAATATCGATAATTCAAAAACACAAAAATTTTGATAGAAATATCGGGATATTATCAATATCGATAAAATTGAATAAAAACCACAGAAATTGTAAGAAAAACATGGAAATTTTTATTGAAACTTTGCAGGATATTTATTTAGTTAATTATCTATTAGTTTATCACAAAAAATTATAAGGAAATGCATTGCATGATGGATTTAACTGATTTAAGTTGATTATATAGCGAGCTGGCAAACATTGTTAGTATAGAAAATATGTAGTAATTAATGAAAGAAGTTTAAACACACCATAATCATTTATATATAATGAATTAGTACAATATTTTATATTTTATACATTGCATGGTAAGATACATGAGTGACTTAGTACCACATATAGTTCCTATCAAGGTCTAAAATATCGATGATATCGGAAATATCGGTAGTCCAAAAACACAAGAATTTCGATGCAAATATCGGGATAATATCGATATTTTAAACCTTGATCCTAATAACAAGGGTTGTTGTTGACTTAGTCAGCTTTAAGGGAATGTTGAGAGAGAAGATTTCCCCAATAAATGTATGAGAGTGGATGAATTCCATGAAGAACTAAGAACTGCTTTCTCTCTTTCCCTCTCCATCTTCTGATTAATGTCGGATCCATCATCAATACCAATACCAATTACTGCTTTCATCGTGGGTAAAGATCAATGTCCCTCCTCGTTACCTTTCTCATTTCTGCATTCACTACTTTTGTTTATAATTCATTTGTCAGTAATGAGTTCTGAATTGTGCAGCGATGATCGTGGTGATGATCGTTAGCGTAAGTATGGCAGTGTTCCGGGAATGTAACAAACTCGAAGAAAATAATCGAATTCAGAATGGCAACTTAGTGTAGATCTCAAGTCCAGACGTTCGGACACTCACAATGGACAACTTCCTATGGAAAGAGAAAAGCCCATCAGGTTCACTTCCCAACAGCTTCGGATTACTACTGATAACTTCACCAATCTATTGGGCCAATGAGGATTTGGTGCAGTTTATAAAGGAATATTCAGCAGTGGAACTCTTGTAGCGGTGATGGTTCTATATGGAAGTTCGGATACGAGAATCAAGGAACAATTTATGTCGGAAGTTAGTACAATCGGAAGAACCCATCACTTCAATCTGGTCTGTCTTTATGGTTTCTGCTATGAGGAACACCTCAGAGCACTTGTTTACGAGTACATGGGAAATGGATCGCTTGAAAAGTACTTATTTCATACCAACATGGTGGCGTTAGGATTTGAAAAGCTTCATGAGATTGCTGTGGGGACAACAAGAGGAATCACTTACTTGCACGAAGAATGCCAACAACGAATTATTCATTGTGACATAAAGCCAGAAAACATTCTTTTGGATGCAAACTTCTTTCCAAAAGTAGCTGATTTCGGTTTGGCCAAGTTGTGTAACAGGGAAAATACTCATATAACCCTGACAGGGGGAGAGGGACTCCGGGTTATTCTGCACCGAAAGTTTGGCTGAGGTTTCTGTTAAAGTCCCACATCGGTGGGTGCAAGAAAACCAATTAAATAGTATTACCCCACTCTAACTACCACCAAGGTTTTTTGTGGTAAAATCTCACACCTGAGGATTGTGCAGGTGGTTAAGTTGGGGACAATATCGGTGTCGTTAGTGTGGGGCAGGCCCGACGATCCAAAAATTCCAACATAGTATCAGAGCCCACAGATGCGGGCCCGTGCAAGCCAATGAGCTTGTCACCAAGTAGGAAACAAGTCTGAACTCTTAACAAAGAGACGATCGGTGAGTTCCATTGAAAACAAGTCGGCCCACCGCTGAGTTCCATTGAAAACAAGTCGGCCCAACGTGAGCCAACCTCTGAGTTTTAATTACCGATGTGGATCTCCACATGTGAACTACTAAATGAGGTTACACGTGAGAGGGAGTGTTAAAGTCACATTGGTGGGTGCAAGAAAACCAAAGGGGTTTAAATAGTATTACCCCACTCTAACTAACATCGAGGCCTTTTGTGGTAAAATCTCACACCTGAGGATTGTGCAGGTGGTTAAATTGGGGATAATATCGGTGTCGTTAGAGTGGGGCAAGCCCAGCGATCCAAAAATTCCAACAGTTTCCTATAACACACAAATGTGATGTGTATAGCTTTGGAATGCTATTGTTTGAGATCATAGGAAGGAGAAGGAATCTCGACATCAATACTGAATATAGCCAAGATTGGTTCCCTAGGTGGGTATGGAAGAAGTTTGAACCCGATGAGTTAGGAGAGTTGATGGCAGTTTGTGGAATAGAGGAGAAAGATAAAGAGAGGGCAGAGGGAATGGTAAAGGTAGCTCTGTGGTGTGTACAGTACATGCCCGAGGCAAGGCCTTTGATGAGTGTCATGGTTAAAATGTTGGAAGGTGCAGTTTAGATTCCTACGCCTTCAACTAACCCTTTTCGGCACTTGATGCCCGACACTCCATACCCTACTGCACCTATCTATGATACTTCAAATCCAACAGACAGTACCACCAGTGATTTTAACTCGGTTCCTTCTCAAACTGTGATTGTGTAAATCCTAAATTAGATTTTATTCTAGTTATTATTTCTTATATGAACTTGTACTCCTTGAGGATGAAGGATTTATTTTCTCTCTTATTACTATAAATAAAGGTATCATGAATGAGGGAATAACACACATATTCCCCTATGATCCTACAAACACATCTTTCTCTACAATCTCTCCTTGCTGCCGACCATTTCCCTTTAGTCAGATAAAATAGACTACAACAAATATGGTTTTTTAGCCAAAATGGTCTTTAAGATTGGCATAACTCATCACTTTGATTCCTCAAATTTGAAATCGATATAGTGGTTTCTAACTTTGTCCATCCTCAATCATTTAGTCTTTCCGTAAAAAATAATTATTAAATAAGGACCAAAATGACAAAAATATTCTCAATTTAATAAACAATTGGCCAAAATGATTTGACAAAAGTTAAGAGTATTTTAGTCATTTTATCCTTATTTAATATATTTTTCACGAAATAATCAAAATGATTGATGGTGAACAAACTCAATGACCACTTCTATTGATTTCAAATCTCAATGATCAAAGTAAGGAGTTATGACAATCTTAGGCACCATCTTAGCTAAAAAGTCTATATATATATATTTATCGTGAAGACTTTTCTCATATTGCATATGTAGTTTTCATTATAATGACAAGGGGTTGGTTATTTACCAATGAGGAAAAATTTTAAAATATTATAGAACTAAAATTTTAAGTGATTTGCCATATCAACCTTCTAAAATCATTAATTTGTTATCTTATCCTAACTTCGTTAAGTTTTTCACTCAAAATAAGTCATGACTTATGTTCAGGGCTATTTTAGGTGATTTGTACTAGAAATTTTAATCAGGTGAAAGTGAATACCATGCTTGGTTCACGTGTTCTAATAAGAGTTTTACCACCTGCAAAAGTAAGATTTAAAGCAAGAGAACATGATAATTGTAGTATAAACGGCTCATGACACACCCTGATCCGGAATGTCCACTAGGACTCCGAATCGAGTTGTGCTGGTCAACACCTGAAAGGTGACGAAGCCATAAAGTATAGTGATGTGGAAATGTGAATAAATTTAAACCTAATAATTTCTAAAGACAAGAGTGCGCTGTGAGCGAGAATGAACTCATTTCACACTCGAAGTCAGAGCATAAATATAGTACAGTAGTGGGTAAGGATCATGCCCTCAGAGGTAGCCACCTATACTGAGATTCACCAAGAATCCTCGTCGATACGAACTTTTAGCATCTAAAACCTGGAGGAGCGAAAAACAAGAGTGAGTGGGCAAAAACAAAACGTTTGAAAACTATTTATCTTTATGAACATAATAACCCCTTTCCGTAAAACCCGTATAGTTTCTAGAAAATAATAATACATACGTATATAGAAATCATGCTCGAAAGTAGTGAAAACCAAGTATATGCTATGTCAAGTATCTCAACAATGAAATAAGTAAGCCAGGTGAAATAAATCAATATAAAATTATATGTCAGCCGAAGTCACCTAATGTGACATGTACAACTGAGCCTATAGCTCATCTACCAATTCCTGCACACAAGTCGGAACCACCTAATGTGGTATGTACGATAGGCTATGTGTAAATAGATACGCTTAAGTGCTACAATCACGTAAAGACTCTGCAAAGTATCGCAACTCACCTACAAGTCGGAAGCACCTAATGTGGTATGTACGACAAGCTGGCACCTACCTTGGATCCAAGGTGAGCATGTGGTGCGGGAGGTGAACGATCACGTGAAGGCTAAGCCCTAGCCTCGGGGGGAGCACTAACACCGGGGTGCAGGATAATGAGTACTAAATGCATCTAAACAAAACCATACCCATTGCAATCACTATCATCAATATATACTCACCTGAAACTTACCTGGGCATCCGCTGCGTCATGCAATAATATGTGTATCTATACTAACGCATATGCTAAAATGTAATGCAATTGACATGGTATTTGAAAAAAAAACCGTAAATCCATTTAAAACAATTTCTGGAAAATGTAAAGCATATATACATGTGTGTGTGTATATATATATATATATACCCATTGCAATCACTATCATCAATATATACTCACCTGAAACTTACTTGGGCATCCGCTGTGTCATGCAATAAGATGTGTATCTATACTAACGCATATGCTAAAATGTAATGCAATTTCTGGAACATGTAAAGCATATATATATATATATAGAAAACCAAAAAAACCCACTCATAGAACATGACGTTGGGTCGAACCCGCCTCGCGGCTTCGAAAATCCTTGCAATGTGTTTCACCTAGAAACAAAACCATTATGTACTTATGTATAACGTGCTAAAGTATAAACGAGTTTTCTAGATTTTATTGCGTGTTTTTCCCTTAACTTTAGGAGCTCATTTCAAGCTCAATTTTCAACCAAATTCAACGATTCAAAAGCCAACTAGAAGTTAGAAATGTGGGAAACATGTTCGTACTAGTTTGAAATCAAATAATGGCCGGAGTTGACCGGGAAAATGGTCTGAAAGTGGCCAAATGGCCACGGGTCCAAGTTTTCCAGAATCTAGGAAATTTCGTCCCAAATTTCAGAGCTAATTTCTAGCTCAATTCTCAATCAAATTTGATGATTGAGCCATATTAAAGCTAGAAATGTAGAGAACAAGTCCATACCAAATTGAAGCCGAGTTTATGTCGGAGTTGGCCAAAAAAATGGCCTAAAGATGGCCAACTGGTCATGACCAAAATTTCCATAATCTAAAAAGATTTCAACCCAACTTTGAAGGCTAATTTCTAGTTCACTACTTAACCAAACTCGATGATTCAAAAACTAACTTGAAGCTAGAAATGTAGTGAATACCAGTTTCGAGGGCCAACCATCACCGAGATGGCCGGAAAATCCTCTCAAAGGGCTAAATAGTCACGGTCCAAGCTTCCAAAATTTCTAGGGAAGTCCTCCCTTCGTCCCCGCATCTTCTAAACCCTATCCAAAACACGTCTAAGCCCTGAGATCGTTCACTAGAAATGAAAAAGAATAAGGGAGAGAGAGATCCTAATGCCTACCTTGGTCGGGTTTCATTGAAGTCGCCGGAATCTCAACTTTTAAAACTGAATTCCTTTTGAGCTCCAAGGCACAGTTCTCATAACCCAAACTTGGGGTTAAGTTCATAAAGGTGAGATGATTGTAGCATGGTGCTGTAATGGTCTGGGTCTCGTATGTACGGAAGTTGTCATGTGTGGTGGTGTCTCGGTGGTGACTAACCCAGAGAGAGATAGTGAGTTTGAAATGAGAGGTGAGGGCAGTGAGAGTTAAAAGAGAGGGAAAGATCCAGGGGATAGGGAACTCGGGAAAATGGGGGAGAATGGGTTGATGCGGTAGTTCCTGGCCTGTATTTTTGGCCTCTCTGTTTACAGAGAAGAAGATAAGGAGGCAGAGAGAGATGAGAGGGTTCTCGAATGAGAGACCACGGGAGGGAAAAGACAGAGGGCACCAGAAATAGGGTGGTGCCACGCGTCAGTCATGTAGTGGTTCAAATGGGAGAAATATCTCTATTTGTGAACTTACCAACACACCATTACATTTCGAATTCCATAATATTCCTGTTTTTGCTCCAAATTCAATTCCACTTGTGTCTACGCTTTCGTATAATCGAATACTACACAAATATGATAAAAGAATGAGTCATATGTCTCTCTAATCAATGGTCAACGAAAGTCAAAATCTTTGCCTCAAGGGCATTTTCGTAAAATCACTAACTTAAAGTTTATCAAACTTAAAATTAGAGACGGATTGTCACAGCTCAAACAATATCGTTCTCCATAAAGATTTATATGAATTATTCATATTTAAAACCAATTTTTAGCTAACTATTCAACACAAGACTTAGTAAAGATTTGAAATTGTGAATTAAAATAATAAGAAACTGAAAATAAAATAACTAGAGTTGGTTTTTGTAAAGAACTCGGCGGCAAAGGGAAAAGGAAATAATTTTTGGAAAAATCAAATGTAAAAGGCATTAGAGTTTAGTCGTCGCCATTAACAGTCCTATACAGTTCTCTCAGTTACTTATGAATTTACCACATACAAGCTTTGAAGGTTAGGTTTTCCTAATGCATATTCTCCTCGTGAAGTTCAAGCAAGAACTTATATCTAACATGTAATCCGTCTGTGATATTCATATCAAATATAAATATACAAAACTCAAATACGCTTTGCAAAAACCTTTTGAAAAAACCATGCAACCCTTAAGAGCATGATATTCGCTTTAAGTGAAATACAATTATCAATTGCAAGAAGCCTTCCTCAATTTTAGGGGGAATGTTCCAACAAAAATTGCATTAAAGTATTTGTCTAAATATCCTAATGGTAGCTAAGCATTGGGACATAATAATTTAAACGCGGTGATTAATAATTCAAAGCAAGCATGCATAATTTTATAAGTAAATTGATAAGAGACTACATATTCATGTCAAAACTTATGATGTCCTAGCAAAAAAAATTAGTTACGCATAATCATAATACAATATATATATATATATATTCATTAGAGTTGAGTAAAAGAAAATCACCCTTGTAGTTTGTAGTTTGCAATTCACCAGAGTTTCGCCAAGTCGTGTAGTGGAACCCTAGTGGCTGGTTGGCGCTTATAAACAGCACCTTATTCCTAATCCTGCCTAAATAAGGCCATCCAGAAAACTAGGAAACAAAATAACAAAATGATAACCTTAAATTACAATCCTAATCCAATATGCCCAATCCTCTGCAAGCTCCAAGAATGGCCTAACTCCAAAAAACGTCATCTTCAATTAAATTAAAGAGCAGGATGAAATTTGAACTCAAGTGCATAGAGAAAAACACTCGTATACTTTTCCGTTAGTATCATATATATTGCTAAAGATTACAGATTCAATCCTCTCATAGGCAGATGGGCTATGCCTCTATTTTTCTCCAATCAATAGCAGAAAGTGATTATCTTACAATTTCCCAATGAATTATAAATAGAATGTAAACATATTTTGTGACCTTTCTGTATCAATTAGAGGAACAAAGAAAATTGGAAAAGCTGAGGAAAACAAAAAAGTAACCTGAGCAAATGCAACAAAATTATAAATAAAACCAGTAGTATCTTCAGCCCTGTGAAATGCCGGGATCATATTGCGCTAATCTACATTTCTAAAGCTCTCGCTCGTATGCCAAATCTTTTTCTGGATAACAAACAGCACATCATCATCCTGCTCGGTGCCTCCCTCTGCATCAGCGGTAGCCACTGCTTCCCAGTGTAACGCCTTCATATATTTGTTTATGAACTCCACCACCTTTCGGTTATCACGCACAATGATGAAACCTTGGGGCCTCAGGATGCGATCCATCTCAATTAACAAATCAACACTGCTACATCCTTTCCTTTCAATATCGGAGAAGAGGGTCCAAGCATGAAGTAGATCATAAGTTCGTGGGTAGGTCGAGTAGGCTTCACACCTGTCACAAGTTGCACCACACAAATATATCAATATTTGATCAATGTTACAATGGCAAAGAAAATTGGTATCATGTTTATACATCATGCACTTATGCCTAATGCAATCCAACGAAAGGTTCTCTCGTTCCTAAGATTGAAAGTAAGCCTGAGATCTTGCCTAGTAATATTTCAAGAGTAACAACAAATCTATACATGGCAGCATAACTATGTAGGTGGGAATTTCTCATTCTAAAAACCAACTACCTCAACGGTTCAAGGTTCTACAAGTTTCTAATTGAAATTTTTCATGGGCTAGTTCGCCTTACCAGCAGTGAGTAGTACCATCCTCATCGTCATCTTTCTGTTTGTCCCAATCATACAGGGAGTGAATATCAAAAACAAAAGGCATATTAACTCATAAAGATTGTCCAACGTACCAATTATGTACTGAGCCTATCAGTCCTCTGTCGTATATTATTTTTAGTGTGTTAGGTCCGTCTTCGGGCACCACATTCATAACCCAAACATCTTTGTTCTTCAAAGCCCCTGCAAATGAACCCAAGTTTGCCTTCATGTCCATCACATTCCTTATTGTGTCGGAATTAATCTTTGGGCTCAAAAGATTCCAGTAATTTTCAACTCTTTGTTGCCAAACTTCCTGCAACACATCAATACTGTCATACACCAAGTATTTGTATGTTGGTAATGTTGGTAATTTATATATGTGAATATTACCATGGCAGAGTAGGTAAAAAAGATGTAGGTTTTTTGAGAATTACCATGTCTTTTTCAAATATGTCACTGGAATAGCCGAAATCACCAAGACGGGGTGGAAGCGTAGTCAATCGAGCAGGCCAAGGAGCCAAACCACTTCCTCTTGCTCTATGGTTTTCTGAAAAGAACACACCAACAAAATGTAAATGCTTTCTCAACTCTGCTATTTAAACAACTAGATACTGCAAAAGTATCAGCAACCTATAGTTCCGGGTGAGTCCATTTTCTACATTAGTATTTCTCAAATAACAATGTAATAGACCAAAAAAGGTTCTGGCTTGTTACTTCGAGACTTCTCAAGACAACTAACAAAGCACAGAAATTATAGAAATCGTTTAGAAAATGGAGGAAATAGGACTCACGCTCAGAGTATGGTGTGATGCAAGCCTCCATTTTCACGTTGTAGACAGCATCTGGATCATCATCTGATCTGCAAAGGGGTGGTTGAGTACCAGGCGGTCTTTCCATGTAACAATCATTAGTCAGCGGCTTGACCCAAATAACAGTTTGGTTCTTTTTAGCAGCAATTTTCCAGCACATCCGTTCCACAAGGGCACTCATAGCTTTCCAAATTCTAAGATCTTCTTCATCCTGTGCGTAGGCTTCAGGAGATGAGTAGGCAAAATAACCTCCAGGTCTAAGTACTCTATCTAACTCAAGGAGAAGTATCCCATCCCTTTGAAGCCAATCAATCCTACAGCGAGAACAATGAGCCAGTTCGAAAGATCTACTAGGGTAAGGGAGTCTCTTGGTCCCTAAAACACCAAGATATGCAGGAATTCCTCTCTCCAATGCAAACTGGATCTGATTTTGATGAACATCATTAGGTGCCAAGGACATTGAGATAATATCAGAAGACAGCAGGTATCCTCCAAAACTAGCAACACCACAACCAACATCAAGGACTGTTCGGAGCCTTCCTCCATTATTTAAAATGTTCTCAGGAAAGTTGAGCATCTGCCAATCCAAATAAAAAATAGTCAGTGTTTTATCATGAAAGAAAATATTACAGATTTACTAAATTTCTACTCACTAATTCAATTTTTTACCCTGTGAAGGGCCACTGTCTTACATTAGCCATTGATGCGATGTACTTGTCAGCTCCATAATGGAAGTGAGTACCTCCTCCAGGAAATCCAATCTTTTCACCTTTGACAACCATCCACTTTTGGTCAGACTTCTCAGTCGCAAGGTGGGTATGAGGTATATTTGCTTTCCATACCTCATCTCGGCTTTTAGGCCACTTGATTGGGATCTATTTACATAAAAACAGCAGGAAAGCTTTTCAGACTATATTATTCAAGTGAAACTTCTAATACAAACTTTCCTCGTTCAATTCCATTTGATGTAAAGACTTAAGCAGGATCTCACCTTATATCCGGGAGGAGGTGGAATCAAACAGTTATATCGCCTTTCAGGCACTGGGCAGTGTCTCTCGTAGTGCTCCGTCACAGACAGATCCAATTTCAATCTTGTTTCGTAGATAAGGTTTCTGTCTAAGCAAGGAATCAGTTCTGAATGTCTATCATCACAGACCTTCATCATTGAAAACATACTTATATTAGTCTAAAAATATATATAACTCAGATAAATAACTCATAAGTACACTATGAAGTGAAACGACATAGTAAATATTAGCGAAGGCAACTCACCGGTATGCTCTTCAATATAACGCCATCCTCTTCATCTTCACCAAGTTTGGGAGGTGAATCGCCAACATCTTCATCCACACCCAAGTAAGTAGAACCAAATTTTCTAATCTTACTGCCATACTCGAGAGCGGAGGAACCATTTTTCTTAGAATAAAAATATAGGAGACCACAAATGATTACCAAAACAAGAACTGAGGTGACCAAACGTTTCTTTTGGCTCCCGTCAGCCCTCCCCCGAGACATTGTTGGAAACCAACAAGAAAATCACCCTTCTACTTCAACTTCAACATGCAGAGTTCAAAATCAAGCTACAAGATGCCAGCTCCAGTTTCACTCCAAAAGGAAGATCAGTCGATGTCTCACTTCAGAAACAGCTTCAATCACCTAAACAACATTAAACTGGTTAGTTCCTTTGATTACAGATACAACGCCAGTACATAAAGAAAATGATCCGCGATACTACGAATTCAAAAATTGAAAATTAACATATAAGATTAAGACATTCAACTCATCACTTCAAGTAATCCAGATGAAGTTTCTCTATGACTCCACTGTATTTTCTTATGAAAAGGAAGAGAACCCCATAACTCGATTTAGTAAAATCGCAAAGATTCACAATGAATCATATCCTAATCCAATCCATATTATACGAAAAAGAAGAAGATATTAACTTGTGACTTGAGATAATACCTAATGTCATTAATTAAAACAGAAAAGGAAAACCAGAAACTAACGGCTAAAAGGTAGTGTTAGATACTCACAAACCGACACCAACCAAACCAAAGCAAGTGAAACAAGTACAAAAAGCTACCAAAATTGAATCCCAGCAATCAAAAAACGAATTCAAGTCTGACCCAGTTCCTTCAAAGAGGAACAAATCTGGAAAAAAAAAAGTACCGCTACCTGATTTGTCTGCACAGATTAAGGGTGTATTCAATTGAGAAATTGAGAGATTTATAAATCCATGGATTTTTACGGAGTTCAATTGATTTGTAGAGATTCCATATAAAATTTTAATTCAATTACCTCAAAATCTCAAAATCTCATGGAGAGAGGTAAAATTTATGGGTGCTTAAAATACACTACGAAATCTCTCCAATTCCCTTTAATTCCTCAACTTTCTCAAATCCTTTAAAATCAATTTCTAATTGAATACATCTGGAATGTTATAAACTTCTTTAAAATCTTAATTGAAATCTTAATTGAATACACCCAGATTTCTAAGGATTTGAATAAACTATTTTAAAATTCTAATTGAATACACCTTGAATTTCAGAGAATCACTTAAAATCCTGATTGAATACCCTAAATTCATTAAAAGAATTAAAATCCCTCTAAATCCCAATTGAATACATCCCCTAAATAGCTTAAATAAATGGCATATAAAAACGAATGATACCAATAGAAAGCATAAGAATGAAGAGGAAGGAGGATAAAATCGGAAACAAGAAATCCAAAAAATAAGATGCAAGGCATTAGCAGACGAAAAAGCACCGACAGTTGACAGTTGCCATATACAGAATAAATGTGAGACCTTCAACTTTAATAAACAAGAATAGACAGAGATTGATACGACCCAGCTCGTGAAATCGCAAAAAGCGTCGGCAACGTTAATTCCCAAAGCTGAAAACGTCCGATTTGAAATTGCCCAGATGAAATTTTTTAGAAAAACAGTAAAAAAATCTTTATTGGAGAGACTCGAAATTGCAGATGGGCCATAAACAGAGTAAGTGAGATTGGAGAGTGGGGATGGATCGGAACCGTTAGATGGCGTCCGTTGTTGGATGAGGATTGAGCAGAGGACGTACCTTGTTGCGATGGATTTTTCTCAGAGGAGAGAGAGAGAGATGGGGTCCTTAATTCTTGTGAGGGAGGAGTGAGAATATTGAAAAAGAATGTGTGATGTGAGAATTTGACTCAGAGAGAGAGAGAGAGAGAGAGAGAGAGAGAGAGATCTATTCGAGTAATAAACAAAGAGTGAGATCTACAGAGGAGAGAGAGAGAGACGGCGACGGTGAGAAAACACGACAGATACAGGTGGTCGTTTGGAGAGACGAGTGAGTGAATACGCGGCATTTACACGTCACATGGGAGATTTTGGCGCGTGAAAGTGAAAAGTCCTTTGCTTTTTTCACTATTTTTTACAAAGCATTGGTGGCAAGTGGGATAGGAAGTGTCCAGTTCTTTTTTTTTTTTTTTTAATTTAGCTTATTTACGCTAAGATAAGTGATGAATTCAATCTTATAATGATCTATCAATAATGTGGTCTAAATTTACCTTTGGTGAGAATCGAACCTAAAACCTCTCACTTACAAATAAAGTCAAGTGCCAAAGTCTTAATTGTGTGAGGCTGACTGTGTAAATCTACACATTCACCAGGTCTTTATGAACATTTTACATATTAAATTAATTTGGATTAGTATAAAGGTAAGTATTATTGTTTAAAGTTTTCACACTAAATATTATAGATTGAAAATTGGTCCATTCATATAGGTTAATACATATTATGTCTTCTCTCCATGGATGGTGTCATAGTGACTGGTTTGGAGATATTGGTTAGAATCACACCAAGACAAGTATGTAGGTGTTCAATAGAAAGTGAGTCCACTGAATGCAATAAATAAGGAGTTCTCACATGAAAACTCATATTTGGAACAATGCAAAATAGTCCTCTAATCTGAGACATCATAATTGTTTTGCGGTTAGGTCCTTATTCTTAATTTTTCAATCTACATCTAATGGCACATGTGCATTTAAATTAGTCTAATTCTCAATTCCTTTGTGTTTGTTACACACACAAAATTAAAATGATTCACACATTATAATTTGTAATGTAATAACTGCAAAAGAATGAATTAGAATCACAACGTTCTTATATATCTTTACGACACGTAAGTGTTCAAATTAGCCTAATTATTGACTTCCTTTATAATGTACTACATGCAAAATAGGAATTAGAGTGACACAAAGAGTTAATCTCATACCATGCATCTTTCATGTTACTTTTTTTTATTTCAAATAAACTAATATACTCTAAGTCTAAGCGATTAATTTATATATTTATAATTTAACAATACAATTTACCGTGATAACTTTTTTCATATTGTATATATAGTTTTCATTAAACATTTTTGAATTTGTCGTATAAACTTATATCGTATCAAACTAGAGTAAGTTATTCATACCATGTTTTTATACCACATTTTCTGATGTGGACAGCCACATCATTTGAAAAATTTGCAAAACCCAAGGAAAGGAAGGAGAAAGACTCCTCGTATACCACAATCATCATTTAATTAACTAGTTTTTCTTAATTATTAGTTTATTAAATAATGAACTAAATTTAAAAATCTGATTAATTTAAATGATGTGGATGTCTATATCAAATATCACCTAAGATAGTATGAAAATAAAATTAAAAAAAACATAGTATGAATAACATTACTCATTAAACTAAAGTCGGCAGGTCCTCACCAAACATTTCTTATTTAATGTGCAATTATCAATTGATATTTTCAACACAATTCTTTGTCTGCTAGTAGATCAAACCGGAGGTCACTAAGCTAATTGAATTGGATCGGCTATGATGCAACTACTTCGACGTGATTGCATGAGATGGCGTTTGAGGTCAAGTATTATTAAATTAGAATTCCCCATTACTTTATCTTATACCCTTAACATTAAGGAATTTGTATATTAAAAGTGAGGAAGAGATACCATCCGATCTCTCCCACCAAATCCTAAGAATCTGAAAATTCAGATCGTTGAAATTTAATCCAACGATTACAAATAAGAAGATTCTCTAAAAGTTATTATAATTCAAATTTTAAGAATCCGAATCTTTGAATCCTTAGAACTTGATGGGAGAGATCCGGATGAGATCCCTTCCCTTAAAAGTGAATACCAAAATCTTTCATCAATGAATTTTTTTTTGTCAAAAAGTAAACTTTATTAAATATGAATCGAAATGTTTATATCTTCTACTAAAATATTAAATAAAAACTCTGGATCCAGAGCATCCAAATAAAAAGCATCTCTATACGAGACAACATATAAAATTACAGCATGAGCAGCGACATTTATGAATATCGTGAAGTATTTTTGGCGTGACTGGCCCACCAATATTGCTTTGCATAAAAGAATATCGTGAAGTATTTTTGGCATGACTGGCCCACTCAGACAACATGTCGTTTTTGGTCAATTTAACCGTTAGTTATACGTCGCGCGGTAAAAAAGCCAATCTTTACGGGGTTTCCTCCAACCGACATGAACAAGCAAAGCAAAAAGCTTCAAACTTTTCGCAAAACCCCAAATCAGACCGTTGGATTTAGGTTTTTTTTTTTTAAACTAATAAAAATGATTTAAAAATTTTGAATTTTAAAAAATAAAAAATAAAGTGAAAAATTCTATGATTAATTTTTTAATGTAAAAATATAATTTTTTTTATTAAAATAAACAGTACAGGAAATTTATGGTTAAATATTTTTTATTTTTTATTTTTTTTATGACCTAAAATCCCAAATCGAATTTCGGATCCTCCCCACAAGCCCACAAGCAAAAAGATGGCGAATAATATTTCAAAGGTAAAAACGCAGCGAGAAGCAGACATTGATGCCCCAACCGGCGATTTCGATCAGATTCCAAGGCTAGGTGCATATCCTCACTGTTTTCATAAAAAGAATTAAAATTTGTATTTTTTACACTTTTAGTTGATCATTTTTATGGATTTGAAAATCTGGGAAATGTTTTATTGCATTTGGGTAGTTCATATTAATCAGCAATTATTAATTGTTGGGCAAATGCAGAGGAAAATCTTACATTCAGCAGCACGTTGGTTGGGTCTTCGGATGATGCGAGCTCAGTTTCCGAACAACGAAAGGGTTAGGATTCTAAACTTTTGATTTTGATGTGATTGTTTTTTTTTAAGTTTCAGATTTCACAAGCAGCTGAGTTAATTGAATAGTTGTGAATTTGTAGCTTTTCTTGTTTCCCAAGTGTTTGCCACCGTTTAAGGTGGTGGTTAGTCAGTTGTATTCGTCGCGGCAATTTGATTTTTGTTTGTTTTATTTGAGCGATATTATAATCTAATTATACTGGGGACCGATTCGAACTTGGGTGCTCTAGCCAATTTGATTTTTGTTTGATTCATGCCTTTTTCAGGTAACAGTTCTGCTTTTCATTTTGCGGTCACAGTTGTATAGCATTGTAGACGACAGAACGCAGGTGGACCGAGATTTTAGAGGTCTGTGAGAACTTGAAAGAAGATAACAGAAATTTGTTTGAAGTTCGAATACATTTTTAATCTGCTTTTTACAAGAGTAGTAATGTTGTTGTGAAGCCCTTTTGCTTGAGAATTGAATCGATGATCTTAGTTACTGATCAGTACATATACAACTTTATCCCAAAATTTGAGAGAACTTGACACTTTTGTTTCTTTCCATCAACGGTGGAATTCGATTCTAGGTGTGAGGTGCAATGTCACTTTAAGATAGTTGGCACCTTCTTCCTTCAGGAGTCTCTTATGACTGACCTAGGTTACTAATATTTTGCAGACTCTGAGAAGAGAGAAGGTACTACGGGTTTTCAAGTTAAATACTGGACAAGACGATCATGCAATAATCTTTTTGGATAACTATCTTTGCCAGGTTTGTTTACAAGAATATTTACATGTTTATTCAGAAGCAGGATTGCATTTTATCATATATTTTCTAAGTGAGGAATGCTTCTCTATCTTGCTATCTTGTCGTAAAAAGAAGTAATGAATGTCCACTAAACGTGGTCTGGGTGTGTGCTTCCTCCAATTTTGTGCCTTGTCAAAACCTTGTTAGGACATGACAGTACATTGATGAACTTCTTGCTGTCTGTATATATATGTAGATGGAAAAGGTTGTGAAAAGATTCGAAGAAAAGGACGAAGATATTCTTGAAGTTTTTAAGTGGTTTAAGTGACACGTTATTTATTTGAAACTCAAACCCAGTATTGGACATCAAGAACTTGTGAGTGATTGGAGTATCTGTGTACTTCTCGGAGAAGGTTTCTTTTAAGGCAGTTTAATGCGCTTAACAAGATAATGATTGAACAAGTCGCTATGTAGATACAATACAATACAATTACAATCCAAATGAAAAATGGTTTGCGGCAGTGTAAATTATTATCTCGTGGAGGAAAGGTGAAGGATGAACACATCTCCCTCTTAATCAATTCTGGCTTTCTTTGTAAGTGCGCTTTTACTTATTCAATAGTATAATATGTTGCAGCTGTGTGAATTCCCTCATTGATTATATGGTACATTCTATGGTTATTTGGTCTGTGGTGTCGGAAACTAGTGAAATAATTTTACACTGAGCATGATTTGATTTATATCTTTCCTCTTAAAGATTTTTATGCAGCTCCTTTTATGGGGAATGCTTCCCCTTAGTTCTGTTTATTGGGTTCCTTTTGAATTTTTTGACGGTGTCCAGTTTTTTAACTATGAAATCTACTTCTAGACTCGGCAACTTATTGATCAAAATGTTCATTGGTCTGTGATTTCAAATATTGGTTCGGTACTAAAAGGCCTCTCTCAGGTATATAATAAAAGGTTAACTTTGTAAACTTGTAGGCTGCTAGATTAGAGACATAGCTTTTGTTATTCAAAATGTTAGCTTTGAGATTTTGAAGTACCATGGCCATTCGACACTTATGGAGATTGAGTTTTCTCTGGCATTTTACTGCATTTTTTTAAAGTTTGAACAGGAAAATTGTCTAAATTTTGAATCACGAGATCCTCTTTGTTCAGGGAAGAAAGGAAATTCTTTCTCTTCTAAACCCCAGGAGATGCAAATAAATGATGATGGCTCCTTTAGAGAAGACGGGTCTTCGATTTTCTCCACTAATGAGATTTCACCTTTGTGATCTAATAGGCTCAGGTCATCTCAAAACTGCCAAGAGACTGACAGGCTTAGTTGTTCAAGTCTCAAAAGATTGAAAAACAGGAATAGTACTAGCAGCCCCATGGGTTCATAAGATTGTTGTGCTTCTCTTGGCTGTCTATCTTATTATAGGTATACCAGCGCTGCTGAATATACGTTCTACTAGGTACATGACCAGAATTTTTGCAGGCCGTCCAATGTGGACGAACAAACAAAGTCATCGTATCAGCAAACCAGCCCAACCCGCATGAGCATGAAGGATAGAAGATCTGCTAGGTCTTGTATTATTCCTTTCATATCTGATTTTTTTTTTCAGTTCTACAGCATCCATGTGAATTCATGCTTAATTCATTTCTTCTGATTTGATTATCCATTTTTTGTAATACGTTGTACTTGAAAGCACAGTAGGAAAATGAGTTACAGAAGAGTACACTCGGAGCTCCTTTTGTTGGACATCTCGCTGCTATCACTGGTGAAGGTTGTGGACAGAACTACCTGGTGTGCAAGTCAACATGCTGCTATTCGAATTTCACCAAAACCTCATAGTTCTTCAGAGTATGTGGGATGTTCGAGACAGCGGGGAGCTGTCGCGGATGATCTGAAAGCAGCTGGTCCGACTACAAAATACAACAGTTGGTGGCATGCTAGACTTCGGAGGGCTGGTGGAGAGCCTGTCCAACAAGACTTTGAGACAAAAGAAATACAACTAGCTGATAGCCTTCCATAATACTGCTTTTAATGAATTGAATCTGGGCTTTTTCTCATGAATGTGAATCATAACAAATGGACAACGACTAATATTAGTCGTAGGACCAAAGAAGCACCTAAAAATTTCAAAATCAAATTGGGAAAAGATTGTTTGGTACCGGATATGAGTCTACTTCGTTGTTAGTAATACGAACAATATGTATTAGATACTGTAGATTGACATTCGATATTAGAAATTTACTCTCCAATCACATTCATATTCACCATTTTGTGGCTATTTAATTTCTATTATTCCCAGTTCTAAAAGATTAAACTCTTATTGACGTGAGAAATACTATATTTTCATATTACTATTTTTTCCCCTACAATGTGATATTCTAAACTATTGCAGTCTTTGAGAGAATATGATTTGAAAGTTCGTATTTTTAAGTACTAACCACTTGGCCTAGCTTCCCACAATTTGGTTATGCATAATGGGACAATCGATATACACAAGAAATGCTTGAATGCACAAGCATCATTACTTAACCAGTACCGCAATCCCACCACCATCCCAAAACCTTTGCATGTTTCTGCGGTGAAGGTGTTGAGTCAATTGCATTGGAAGAGACATTTGGTGATAAAGTCGTTTGGAATGAAGGATAAATCATTAGATTCATGTCTGTTGAAGTAAGAAATGGAGGCAGATGTGTGAAATTTTTTACTTTTATAGGGATTAAAGGGGATAATCTATAAGCTACTTATATCCTACTATTTTGGGCGTTATTAGAAGCGATCAATTTCCTTCATGATCAGCAATTCATCTTTTACTTTTAGCTTAGACAAAATTTCTTCATTTCTTCTTTCAACATGGCTCCAATCTTATCCTGGACACTAAACGAGCCTTCAGATTTTTCAGGAAACAAGCTTTGTCTAATCATTGTGAAATTTGGAAGTGTTAGGTGTGTCTTTTGTACTTATTAATACATGTTTGATGCTCAAACATGAACGTCTTGGTGGGTTCTTGCTAACTTGGAGTATTCTGGTGCTGTTGTTGGTTGGTTAAATCAATATTTCTCATGTTATCTTCGGTTGCTGCTTCAACTTCAAGGATGGAGATATTTTCGACGCAATCTGAGAGGGTCAATTCTATAATTTTGGTCGTAATCGTGTTTAAGGATCGACATGCATAAGGTTCCAGTTCTACTATTGTGTCCGTGCAATGTTTAATTAATTAAATATCCTTAATAAGTCACGAGCAGAATCTTTGGGTTTCTTGTGGCTAGCTAGGCAATTATTTGGTTAATCCTTGCTTTAAGAATTTATGTTTGGATTTCACCCCATGGATTTGGACCTAATCCGTCAGATTTAGTGGTAATCTTGGAAAGATTTTTCAGTGTGACCGGTACACGAGATGATATACCACGTGTCATTATACAAATTGTAGGATATGTGTACTAAAAAGTTAATAACATAAAAAATAAAATTTCACACAATTTCTATTAAAACATGTAGTGTACCACTTGTATTCCCGTCACAATTAAAAATTTCTCGTAATCTTGGACATCAACCGATCATTGTCTTCTTTTGTCATCCTATTTGTTCCTTTTTGGATATAACTTAGAAGCTTAACACTCAAGCTGAATTGTTTTGGACTACAGATCGACATCCTAATTACTTCTTCTTGCTGTTGATTTGGAGATTATTATTGTTATTAGTATTTATTTGCCTAACCACGATTTGGAGATCTTAGGGACATTAAATAAATCACTTAGTGAAAATTTTAAGACGAAAATAATTTCTGACTAGTATTGATTTTTTCTTATATAAAAAAAATTGTTATTCTGTCGATTAAGTGTATTGTTCTGTGTATTCGGTGTTCACTCTTTGACTTCTCCTCTCTCAATATCACTTTTCTATATTAAAAAAAAAAAAAAAAAGACTCTTATGAAGTTAATGTTTTGAAATTAGAATGACATGCATGCTAAGAAATAAATTTAAGAATAAATAGGCCAAATATGGCTAAGCGGAATATGCCAACTGAAAGAATCCAAAGCTAAAAGCCTTGACATTACTAATTAAGAACTACTTGAAAGTGTTTTTAAAATGACAAAAAATACTTTTAGAAAAACGTTTTTGAGTTCCAAAAGCACTTAAAGTGTTTCCTGTAAGAAGCACTAGTTATATGCTTATTGTAGGAAGTACTTCAATTGTTTTTTCATGATTCACTTGTATTTTTATTAAATATTGATTCCAAAAATGTTTCAACATAATGTGCTTTCAGCTATTTTAAAAGTGATATTAAATTAGTTCTAAATCATTCAGAATGTTCCATTTAAAAATCTCAGAGTTACATAAATAGGGAGTTAGAAATGATTTTCAGTGGGCCATATTCAATCACAATTTAATCTGTTAATTAATCTCAACATTCTAACTTATTCAACTGCAAAATTAGTCATATAAGTAAACTAACAACGAAATGTCTAATCGGACACTTTAACTTTAGATAGATCTTTGGCATGGATGTGACACTTTTTGGGTAATATTATACATTTCTTATAGATTAAGATTTCAGAGTACATAATTGCTATTAACAAACCCTAGAACTAGCTAGCTCAAAGAAGATAACATGATCCTTATGCATGCAACCCTCTTGTTATCTCTTCTCCCTTCAAACGTGTGCTCAACTCGTTTCATACAAGTTATTGCGTTTAAAATGATATTCAAATGTGAACAATAATTTACATAAAATAAGGGTGTTATGTTAGTTGTATCTCGAGGCTATAACGTAACGATAGTGTCCATTTGAAGTGATCTCTCTCCTCCAATCTCTGACCTCTCATTTATGGACATGTGTCGTTGTGACGTGGCCTTGGGATACAATTGGCATGGCACCCATGGTAAGTCTTCCTCCCAAATAGGGAATGCAACGGTTCGGTTTGGGGAGAAAATGACATATCCACCTCCATAATCAGAAAAATTAACCATATCCATAACCGCAAATTAACAATTGGAGGTTATCCATAACCATACCTATAGGATAACAGATTCCCTATCGGTTAACGGTAATATCCATCTTCATCAATGAAAAAAATATTATTCATTCAACTTACACATTATAATTTAATAGATACCAATCCCGTAATCAAATATCCACATCAAAAACATAACAATACTTTATGGAAGTGTTCATGATAGGCCTAATATGATAGCCAATTACGGCAAATTGGTCCCATGAAAAAAGGAAAGGGATGACAAAAGCAAATAAAACAACCATAAAACAATTACTATGGGAGAAAGACTAAACAAATTATCAAATAATTTAAATACTTGTGAATATACAATACTTTATGTTAGTTGTATCTCGAGCCTATAACGTAACGATAGTGTCCATCTGATATGATCTCTCTCCTCCAATTTCTGACCTCTCATTTATAGACATGTGTCGTTGTGACGTGGCCTTGGGATACAATTGACATGGCACCCATATGTTAAGTCTTCCTCCCAAATAACATGATCTCAACTAAATGATATACTTTTGGGTGTAGATATATAGTTGATTATTTTGGATGTTACAGTCCATGCAGGTATGTGTATCATGGTAGCTGTTTTTGGATATCCTTGTTTGATTTAGCTCTGTTTTTTGTAAAATACATTAGGTTTACATCATTCTTTTTGCTACTTCGTTGATTAAAATCCTATTCATTTTCAATTTTTGATCAAGGTCCTTGAGTATTAATAACATCATTAATTATTTGAATAATAAAATATTTTTTTATTTTTAAATATATTCCTTTAGTGTTAAAAATGTTACAATTAGTATATTTATATTTATGGTTAAATTTTTTATCATATATTTTTATTTTTGGTTTGTACCTATTTTTAATTTGTACCAATTTTTTTTTTCATTTTTAATTTGTACACATATATTAGTTTCTTTTTGTGCCCATATTTTTTAAAATTTTATTTGTGTTTATACCCATGTGTATACCGTCACGTGACATTGTATATTTAATCAATGATAGAAAAATTACATATGGTATATTTATGTTTTATGCCTAAACTTTGTATCATATATTTATATTTTTAGTTTGTACCCACTTTTAATTTGCAACATTTTTTTAAATTTGTAGTATTTTCTTTTTAGTTTTATTTTGTACCCATGTATTAATTTCTTTTAGCTCCTATATTTTTTTAAAAATTCATTTGTACTCATAATTTTTTAATCTTTTATCTATACCCTAATTTATTTACAATGTACCCATTCTTCTTTATTAATATACCACTTTGTTATATGTGAAATGTACCAATTTTTTTAACACTATGGATACATTCTTTTGCCATTTATTGTTTCTTATTTTTACATAGTTTTTATCCATTTATTCAATCAAAGTGTTTGAATTTTTTATTGTAACCGTTTCTAATAGTATTATAATGAGGGATTTTAAATTTATAGGATTATAAATCTCATAAAATATCAAACAATTAATGTCAAAACTATAAAAATGTAAATATTAATTGTAATATAATGAGGTGTACAAAGTTAAGGGACTTTGATTAAACTTTGAATATCATTAATGTTTTAGTCAAAGAATGTTAAGGATTAAGGACAGCATCTAAAGTATCTTCAAATTTTATTAAAGAAAAGACAAAAATTAAAACACTAGCAGTTCAAAAGGAATTGCGAACAACATCCAGGAAGTATTCACTTTATAAAAATATGTAAATTATCTGGAGAAGGCTTTTGGACCATGAAAATCAATTTACTTCTAATAATATGTCCACAAGCTATTATATACTTTGGTCCAAACAAGTTTAATGGTGGTGTAGGGTCAACACGAATGAAACCAATGAAGAGAATATTTATGTACATTGTTGAAACGACGTCGATTGCATTAATTGTTCATGCAGGCACTTTTGGACTCAGACTTGGACTTGGAGTTGAACTTGATATTGATTATATCCTTTTCGTGAAAGTTAAGTATTACTCTTAACTTTGGTTAATCTGCTAGGCAGATAACATTTACTTTAATTAGGTATTTTATAACCTTTTTATAGGTTGATGTGAGTTCAGCCGCGTATAGGACCGTCACGTTGAAATTAGGGTTGAGTGGTTTATTTTATTTATTTATTCATACATGATAATATTTATATTGAGGGAGTTTGAAATTTCAGTTACCTCGCAATACAACAATTATAATAATTCATTTACGAGAACTTAGTTTAAAAACTTCTCACTTTCAAAAAATTGTGGTGCAAAATGATAATGTGTTAAGTTTAATTATTT